TTTCATGTTGTTATTTTTACCTCTGCTGAGGAGATCATGCGATCAATTTTTTTTGTTTTCTTTTCTATGTATTTTCGTTTGTCTCTTGAAAGGTCAAGGGTGGATCTGCATGAAACCTGAAGTTACGGTTGGCACCACTCAAAGCAATACATTTTTTTGGAGTCAGAACAGAAACCGGATCTGAATCCTTAAATCTCTAGAATGGTTCTGTGCACAAATACATATAATAAAAAATATAAATCCAGGGACTCAATTCATGCCTGCTGTTTGGCTCACCGTCGAGCCTGTACCTGCAGTACATACATTTAACCAGCAGGGTGTAGTAGAGCTTAGCATAGCAGTTAGACCTCTGAGGGTGTAACGGCTTTATTATCAGCCATACATACTTTCTTGCTATATTCATGTATTGTATCTTAAACCAGCTCATGCTGTCTGTGCAAATCTTTCCCCGAATGAGCAAGTACCCACACTGAAGAACACCCAGGTAATGAAAACAAGCTGAAAACAAGCTGGATCATTTCATTGCAGTAACCTGACATTCTTTTCAGATAAAAATAGATGTAAATTGATCACAGATGAACAACTGAAGACAGCTGCCTGAAGTACGACCCAAAATCCTCCTGAAGTTCCACTTAAAACATTAAAGTTCTCCAACACCAACAGCTAACAGCTCAGAAGCTTTCATCTCCCGTTTCACTGCGGAGAGAGGAACGATTTAATTTGAATCAAGCATTCGGAAAATGTCCTTAGCCTGCCAGGAAGCGAAACGCAAAAGCAGAATGCCTGTTTTTAATGAGAAATCTGAATGATAAAAAGGTAACAGAGTGAATGCTTAAATAGCTAGAAAAAGGAGCAACAGTGATCAAGAACATGTGCTTATTCCATTACTGACAAATGCTCACCTCCGCTGTCAGGTGAGCTGAGGACGTTGAGGGCGAACAGCATGGCGTTGGAGAAGGTGGTGGCCTCCTCCTTACTGGCAAAGTTCAGCCCGTAGACCTGCCGGGCATCACGCCACTGATGGAAGGTCGGGGTGGCCTGATTGTACTTCAGGCCCTTCACTATGGAATAGTTGATCACCACCTTTGTTGGAAGAAAGAAAAGAATCGGTGTACGTGAATGTGATCATCTAAGACAGGAACTCAATATTTGCCAATTAGTTCTGCCAAGGTTAGAATTTATTATTGTTAAAGTAGATGTCCATATGTTTTATTAATGACTCTCCTGACATACTTTTACAAGACTCAGAGTTCAATTTATTTATCTTATACTGAGCTTTCAGTTCATCCTGGCTGAAAAAGCTATATCCATTTAGGGGAACCCTCCTTTCAGGAGACAGTGGATGAGGCTGCTGTGGTCACAGGGATTACTTGCATACCTGATGAGCATAATATTAACCAGTGACATGCTGAACATATATATGAGCTGTCCAGAAAAACCCTTAAATAAATACATGTCTACCTGCTTTTTATGAAGGCAGTAAGCTCTGCTAACATTATAAAGAAGTTCATCCTAACTGGAATAGCTAGATTTTTGATTATTATGCTAAAGGTCATAGCAGGTAGACCCAGGCAATGAACCTTATTCATACAAGATATAAGTACTTGTAAAAAATTTATAACTGTAGTTATAGCAACAGCAATAAAACCTCTTATGATGAACATCCTAAATATGCTATTACGACGACGGCTTCTGTCTGTAACATGATCGACAGCCATCAGACTCAATGTTAGCAGTTCATCAGAGGATGAGGCCTATTCTGAAATGTTTAGCAGGAATTCAGCTGCGTAGATTAAATGATTTTATTAATGTCGCAGTTTTTGTTTCAAACCTATGTTGGGCTCCGACTTGTCTCTCTAATGAAACTATAAACAAATACAGAGGTAAAAACTTGTTTGTTAAAGATTTCAGGTTGTTTTTGTCTCATTTGGGGGATTAATGATCTTTATTTTGTCCACATTTTTTTCTTTTAAATCATTTTAGTGATGATCTGTCTGAATAAACTGAAAGCATTAAACAAAGTCCTTCTAGACTTGTAATGCTGAACGCACCCAGCAGCAGCTCCTTACTGCATATTCTGTGTAAAGTGTGCAGCACAATCTCCGAAATATCATCTATCTAAAGAACTGAAGAATTCCTGCTTTTAAACGGTCTGATAATAATCTGAGTGCCTTTAACAAGATCAAGTATCTTGTACATTTTATTCCAGATCAAATGATAGATGATGAACAAACGGTCTCTGTTCAGATCATGTTGTATTTCACTCTATACTGCACACTTGTGGTCAAACTACAGAAAAACAAGCTTACAGGACTTGAAGATCAAAGCTTATAACGATTAAATTAAGATACAACTGAAAATACATATGATACTGAAGATACACGGTGAAATGTGTTAAAAAACACCCCTACTTAATAAATACTCTTGCAGGCTTAACTATTCTAAAAAAAGGGGAATAAACATGTGTTTATAAGGGACAGGGTTTAGCATAGTATTTAGTATGTAGACTGTAGCAATGATTTATTGATTGCTCTTATTAAGAACCTTATAAAAACTATTTAACTGCATCTTTATGATGAATATGAATATGCAGACCCCGTGAGCAGGGAAGATTTTTTTGTAGCTGAAGCTTCCTGGTTTATAGTTTATTTGTAGTCACGTCTGAGCAGGTATGCCTCAGCCGGCCATTAAACTAGTCCACGTGCAGAGCAAAAGAGGGATTACATTTTCTGAAATGCAATCTATAAACCATGAGCTATTATCTTGCATGCGTATGACACAATAACAACTGCATGAAGATAAACGAAATCAGCAGTCTGAACCATATAAAACTAAAGAACCATTAAAACAGGAGTGAAAACACAAATCCAGTCATGAATATCAGCAGTGTTTCTTTGCAGCAACTGAATGGATTTACGCATGTCGAGACGACCTGATGAAGTTAAAATCGAGCATCAGAATGAAGGAAAAAGTTGGCTTAAGTGATTTTCAATGTGGCATGATGTCTGGTGTGAGATAGTCTGAGTATCTCAGAAACTGTTCATCTGCTGGAATTTCAGATTGGTCCAAAAAGACAAAAACATCCAGTGAGCAGCAGTTTAGTTATTGATGCCAGACGTCAGAGGATAATGACCAGGCGGCTTTGAGTTGATGGTTGGCAACAGAAACTCAAATAACTACTTGTTACAATCAGTAAGTATCAGTGCAGAAGACCATCTCTGAATGTCCAGCATTTTGATGCTTGAAGCAGATGTTCTACAGCATCCACACCAGGTGCCACTAACGCCAGCTAACAAAAGGAAACTGAGGCTACATCTTGAGATGCCGTTTGAGTTCTCTCTACTTCCACAGTCACCAGATCTACATCCAACAGAGTGCTTCTGGGATGTGCTGGACATAATCAACATGCACCAGACAAGTCTCCAGGACTGTGTGATGCTATCATGTCTTTGTCAAGCAACATCTGTGTCTCCAGATGTGAGATTTGCTGAATAAAAAATTAAGAATTAAGCCAGTTCTTAAGGTTAGAGGAAGTCCAACTCAGGACTAGCAAAGCGTACCTAATAAAGTAGCTGGTGAGTGTATAATTGGAAATCCTCTCTGTTTTAGTGATACTGTAAACTATAAAAATAATAGTAATCTACAACCTTATATGGAAATAGAAAAATCAATAGATTTGTATTTATACTGAATTGTCACTAACACTATCCAGCGAAACATCCACTCGTCATGCGACGTGCGCTGCTGGTTGCTCGTGACTCTCACCTGCTGGTCCTGCAGTTTAACGCCCACCACTCTGAAGGTGTTGTTGGCAGTATTGTGGTAGATGTTGATTCGGCTGAAGCCCTGTTGCCCAGGCTTGATGGGCACCCATTTCTTACTGGCATCATCGTAGACCATCACAGAGGCCCGTGCCTGGCAGATACTCTGTTCACTGGTATAGAAGAAGGGGAGAGAGAACACAAGATCAGAAGGTTTGGTAAACATCCTAGAAAAAGTGCTTCGTTTCACTCTTTATACTGTCAGCGTTGACCTTAAAAGCAAATATAATGGCAGTCAATAAAATAAAACCAGTGAAACAGATTTAGTGTGTAATTTTCTGGTGAGCCGAGGGCCACTGGGACTGGCGAACCACACCTTTTTTCGGTCACCACTAAAGGAGGAACTTTTGGCCACTGTATGAAATCTGACAGCTTATATATGTGCCGTGCATGTGCTGAGTAAAGGACGGGTTGCTGTTTTTAAAATCTATAAACAAGACCTCAAACTAAAACGAAACTCTGGAAAATTCCCCTTTTCCTTGTGGCCTTTACTGTGGTGCAGTTTCATAAAAAAACAAAACAGGCATCGATGCAGAAGGGTGTGTGTGAGTGTGTGTGGCGTGCTGGCTAATGACACACTGTGTTAAAAACATGTGTTTGATCAGCACACATGTTGCCAGCTACAGGCACCCTTGGTAAGAAGCTAATGAAAAGTCAGAGGACACACGGCTACCAGTGAGCATTAAATAACCGTGTTCACAACCACAGAACTGCAAAGAAATTACTTCAGTGTAGAGATGCATTTGGCCACTGACTGATGTGGCTTACACAAGTCACATCACAAAATTATCAGTTACAGCGGACGCAGCTTTGTAAAAGTTTAACTCGTTTTTTTGCGTGTGGCGACCGCCGTGACTTTAGCAGCACGCGCTCCTAAAAGTGAACTCATGCTGCTGAAGCCACAGCGTGGAAGCACATGTGAGAAGGTGGCGAGGAAAAGAACAGGTGACAACTTCAAGTTCCTGAAATTTCCACTTTCAGCACCTCAGGGATCGACACTCTCTGGACGTTAGACACATTAGCAGCCTGAAGGTGTGAGGGCCGGAGAAAGGAAACTAACAAAGCGCTGGTTGTGTGCACATTGCCTTAAACTCTGCAACAGTTTGTGAAAAATAACATAGAGCATAACAAAACTTCCCACACTGAAGGAGTGGATTAGCTGGCAAAAATATTCAGAAACAGATTACAAATCACAAAATTCATTCCAGCTTTAACAATATAGGAAATCAGCAAACTCCTCACATTTCACAGGGAGGTACCATAGACTATATTTATAAGAGGCCTCTCATTGCACCTGGGACTGAAAAGTGACGCCTTCATCCGGTACAAGGGGCGGCTATAGCTATAAAAGAAATCAAGACTGTACAGAAGTCTATGGGAAAATGACCCTATTTCTTACTTGATTTATGACCTGAGCAAAAATCAGTTTACCATCTCAATTGTTCATTTCAACTAAATGAAATATAAAGTTCATTTGGTAAAATATGGCCTCAGTCAGGAGAACACATACAAAGGGCATGGTACGCTTTAAGCAGCGGTTCCTATTGCATGACCTTTTTCTCTGTTAGATTAGATATTTAGTGTGTAAGTCTGTTGTGTCCATCTTTTATATACAGTCTATGTCCTCTCGTCCTTTGGTTGGCAAGTGGATCAATTGGCAATAATGTCAAGGTTCTCAGCAGCTGACACAGCTGCTCTCTTATGCTTGCACAATTAAAGGCTGTGAATTATTCAGGGCGTGCCGGTCCCATTTGTCCTTTCAAAAATGGATAAATGAACAAACTGTAGCTGCCTTTAGGTTTACAGTTTGGATATGGTTTTAATATAGAATATATAATTCAATATGAATATAGTCAACTGAGACTTTCAAATGACTGAAAAGACAAAAAAATGCATGCAAAATTGCAGAGAGAATATTTAAAAGTGCCACTGAACTTATTATATGCCACCTTGTTACAGACAGAACAATTTACTAAAATTAAATGATCAATAAAAATAACAGACGGCTAAGGAGATGTGAAAAGAAGGTTGGTTTGCACAGAATTTATTAGGAGCCACGATTTGCTGCAAAGGCTCTGAGGACATCAGCGTGAAATGCCACCGTATGAGACCCTTCTCTGACATCCTTTCCTTCAACGTGCCGCTCTGCAGGAGGAAGACAGCATGACACCTGAGAGACCCCCCGGTGCAGCACTAACATGTTCGGTCTCAGCCGGCTTCCTCTTACTTTCCTGCAATCAGCTGCTCTCTGGTTCCCTTGTGGTTGTTTTAACAGCCTCACAAAAAAGTCAGCGATGATGAGATAGCAGCATTTTCTATTGGATTCACCCATGCAGTAAATTCCTATATTATTCAGAAAATGTAAGTCAGACAAGGAAGTGATGTTTTCTGATAAAGACGTTGTAAAATAAGAAATGTTATTAGTGGTATAAAATAACCTGCTGTCAAAATATTTTCCGATCCCTTCGAAACCACTTATCTGGGAATGTCAAAATAAAAGCACCGCTCTGACACATGACAGCTGTGTCGAGTGCATCATTTTTGGGTAAAAACGTCTGAACAAAGTGAGCAGCACATCGCAGCGCTCCTAAGGGAGGAGACTTTAAAACTCGCTTGACAGACGGACTCCCACGGTTACAACCTCCCTCCCTCTGTCAAGTATCCATCTCTCCCCACTGCACAACTGCTGTTGAGCTAACCGGCAGCAATATCACCATGTGAGAGTAAAAAGCAAGACAAAAGTGAGCGCCGATGCCTGGAAAATGGTTACACAATAAAAAAAAATCTCTGTCTGGGGACAAACAGGAACTTCAAAATGAAACAGGAAATTCAGGCGGGCAGACGGAAATATGAAGTCTCCTGAAAATAGCACAAATCTGAAACACAAAGCAATCCGCTGCAGGAAAGAATTGCAAGTTTTATCAGACAAAATTAAAACCTCTGAATAACACCGATCATGCAATTGCACTGCAATGATATGCTGGAAAAATCAGGAGTCCTGGGAACTGAGTGAATGTTATTTAGGAATGAAAACACACAAACTCCCACGATCCAAATCTGATCAAGCATGTGTTGAAAATACTGAAGACTTAACCCACAACCAAGTGGACCAAAAGGCTCCCATGTTTATGACCTGATGGGTCAGAGCTGTTTTGGTGGCACGATGAGGGCCGTACAGTATTGGGCAGGTTGATCTGTGTATTTGATAGGTATGATTCATCCTTAACCTCCACATTTCTTGGCATCTAAAATAGATACAAACACATTGCTTCTGCTTAGCCAAGCTTAGAGTTAAAATCAACTTATAATCTAGCAATGCAAAACAATGCGGGACAAGTACAAACGGCCTTTAAATACGTTTAACGGACCCTCTAATCACATAACAGACACTTCTCTCCACTTCAGAGATCTGACAGACCACCGCAGTCCCAGTGGGACAGATCAGGGCGGGGAAAAGGGAGGCGGCTGCATCTCTGCGATGGATCTTCTTACAAAAACAGACCCTATTTCTGGAGCAGTTTGTGCCAGAGGTTGGATGGTTTCAGTTCTCCTCAACAAGTTAAAAAAAAATGTCTAGTTGATCCTTAGACATTGCATGTTACTCAATCAACACATCATGTGATATAAAGCAAAAAAAGGGAAAAACAGGAGGACTGTAGGAGTATAAAAGTGTGAATTAGGACCATAACACAGGAGCTCTCACCAATTTCGATAGTGTGCTAAATGCTTCTGTGTGTGATCTACTATTTGGGGGTGCTGGAGTATAGATCATATGGCAAGGAACAAGAGAGAAAAGAAAATAGGTAGAGCATGAGGATAGTAGATGCTCATATTAAAAATGCTCAGTTTCAAAGAACGCAACAATACAAACTGTGCAAATGATGCCGGTGAACTGAAAGCAGAGGCTTCAAACCTCTCTATGCGCTTGCTTTCAGGCAGTTTGTATTTCCAGTTAAGAATCCGCATGATGTGAAAGCGAGGAGATATCTTTAATATGATCATCTTAGGCATAAAACTCTGGCTATGAACCCAGCAATCTGTTGTTTAAGCCTTCTGAAATCCAGAGGCATCAAGTCAGAAGAAAGCGAGCTTGAAGTGGGAGGAGGAGAGGACAGCAGATGAACTGAGGTGCAGAATTAAGGCCCAGTGTAATAAAAATAGGTAGTCTAAGAATAAGAATACAAATCTGTAAATTAGAATGATAGCTCACCTTAAAAAAGAAAGTGAACTGGTTGATTTTCAGGCAGAAAGCAAAGATGACTGAGTAAGAGATGACACACAGGAGAGGCTGTGACTATGTGTTTGTGACGAAAGGCGATATGGCATAATCTGAAAAAGGTCAGCTGTGGCTAAATATCAAAATCAGTGACATTAAAATTAACATGTTGAATCAAACTGATGTTCAAGGTTGTACAGAGGACAGCAGAATATTGAGGTTTATACTAAAGCAATTCTTAACACTATTTTTGAACAGGCCTACCACCCCCATTTATGGTCCCAAGCTGTGGGTAGTGACCAAATGAATAAGACCGCAGATATAAGTAGCTGAAAATAGGTAGAGACTTTGCAGGTGTGATAATAAAGCTAGGCTAAGACTAAACAATACGAAGAGTAGCTTAAAAAACTGCATGAATAATTGCAATTGGGCTGGCAGTAGCATGTTATAACGCAGGAGCCAGGCTCATTTTATGTAACTGAGACAGCCCACATAGACCAGAAAGTTCTTCTGTGAAAGACTGATTTTTTTGGCACATTTCTGTGACATACATTACGGCTGCAGCAGGCTTTTTTGTTTATATAGCAGTCTGCTTTTAAAATGTCACATCTGCACTTTATTTATGTGCCATGTTAAAATGTAAAAGACAGAAATCGTTGAGCTGTGTAGAGCTCAGAGGACGTGCAGAGTAAGGTAATATTTCACTATGGCCTCATCATTACAAGTGACCTTTTACATGCATGCTAAATTAAAAGTATTGATTATGGCTAATGAAAGCGATTTCATCAAAGTGCAGAAAGCTTGCATGAACTATAGTGCATTGATCATTTGGGCAGTTTCAGACTCCAGGACACTCTTATGTTCTTTATTGACTACATCTTATATCTTTAAAGTGCA